CCACCACTAACACCACCACCATCCTCATATCGACGTATCCTGATGAAGGTTTTCTAAAAATGTTGGTTTTTTAGAATTTCCTAGAATCTAATAGCATACAATTAATCACAACCAAAATGTATGTATTCAGCATCCATCCATTCATCCATGGCGAGCAAAATCCGATTAAGATTTGGTCCCATAGATTTTTTCTTTTGTGTTGGTGTTTGAAATTAATCGAATGGAATTTGATTTGTGGCAAATGACAAATTATATGTAGAGGGTATCACGTCCTGGGACTGATTTTTGAGGTATCGATTGTTTGAACTTGGACACTTTTGAGGCTATTTGTGATTTGTCAAATATTCGGCAAATACAGGGTGAGATGAAAACATTACAACCAACATCAGACTGCTGTCATTTATAATGTGATAGTGGTAGCGTAGCCCAACGTCAAGGAAGTGGACGGAAGAAAATAGCAACATCAACAGAAATGTTTCGAAAAGTAAAGAAGCGACTTGATCGAAACCCCCGTCGCAGTGGCCGTAAAAATGGCTCGTGACCTGAACACATCGCGATATTCCATTCGACAAATATTGAAAATGAGCTAAGGGTAATGTCATTGAAATTCCAAAAAGTGCAAGAACTTACACCGCAACAGAAAGAAAATATACTCAAAAGAGCTAAAGAGCACTACCGAATTTGGTTTTCTCCGATGAGAAAACATTCGTAGTCCAGCAGTTTGTAAACAAACAAAATGATCATGTTTACTTGCCAAAGAGGTCAGCTGAAAACGTGCACCTTCGGTTGGCCATCAGAACTCAAGTCCGTCCATGGTGATGGTGTGGGCCGCCATAACAGCCTATGGTCGCTCTCCACTCGTATTAATCGACCGTGGCATCAAAATAAATGCCAAATATTATCGCGAAAATATTCTGGAGGGTGGATTAAAGCCTTGGGCACCCAAACATTTTGGACAGGACTCAGCACGCGCCACCCAAGAATGTTTACAAAATGAGTTTCCTCGCTTCATTTCCAGCACACAATGGCCACCAAAATCTACAGATACCAATCCGTTGGACTATTGTGCATCTTCGGACTGAAAGTGTGCATCTTCGGTTGGCCACCAGAAATCAAGCGCCGGCCATGGTGATGGTGTTGGCTGCCATAACAGCCGATGGCCGCTCTCCGCTCGTATTAATCGACCGTGGATCAGAATAAATGCAGAATATTATCACGAAAATATTCTGGAGGGTGTATAAAAGCTTTGGACACGCAAACATTTTGGCCGCAGACCTTGGATATTCCAACAGGACTCAGCACCATCGCACTCAGTACGCGCCAGCCAAGAATGGTTAAAAAATGAGGTTCCTCGCTTCATTTCCAGCGCACAATGGCCACCAAAATCTCCGGATACCAATCCGTTGGACTATTGTGTCTGGAGTATTTTGGAAAGCAAGGTTGGCACTAAAAAATACTAAAGTATCGATCACCTCAAGCAAGCGCTTTGCCGGGAATGGGCCAAAATACCGCAGAGCAACATTCGGGCAGCGTGTGACGGTTTTATTGGCTGTTTGGAGGCCATAATTCGTTCCAAAGATGACCGATTCGAACAAATCTAAACTTATTCTAAAATTTGATACTATCTCCGACATTTTTTGCTTTCATTTAATAAAATTTTAAAAAAAAGGTAAAAATTATGGCGTTTTACTTTGTTTGAGTTTTTTTTCTATCTCACCCTGTAAATGTCACCGTTATGTGTTTGGGATTAAGATATGGAGGTGGTTTTGGAAATGTACAAAAAGTACTGAATGGTACTAAATTTGGTGTTGGGTGAAGAGATAAAGCTGGAATCCTCAAAATTGACATTGAAAAATTTTATTCTGAAATTTGATACTTAGATTACATATGCTATCTGAGGTTGAAATTTGACTGTGGCTTGAAATTGCAACCTATATTTGTACGGAAAGTACTAAATGGTACTAAATTTGGTATTGGGTAAAAGAATGTGGCTGGAATCCTCAAATTTGATATTGCGGTCTCTGTTGGTACCTGGAATTGAGATATGTAGATGGTTTTGGAAATATGTACTACAAGTGCATGAAAAGTACGAAATAACACTATATTTGGTACAATTTGGTATTGGACGAACAAATAGTGCTTGGAATCTGAAAATTTGGTATTAGGACATGTGTAGCCTGGACATATGTACTGCAGATGCACGAAAAGTACTAAATGGTACACACTTGGTTCAATTTGGTATTGGGTTAAAGTAGATAGTGCCTGAAATTTTGAATGTTGGTATTAGGGTCGCTGTTCATGTACAGGCTGAACATATGAATGTGTACTATAATTGTACGAAAAATGCTGAATGTTAAAAAATTTGGTTTTGGGTGAAGGAATAGAGCTTGAATAATGACAATTTATACCAAGGTCACTGTTGATGTCTAGTATATAGATATGGAAAGGTTCTGCAAATGAGCACTTAATTTATACGAAAAGTACTAAATGTAAAAAAATTTGGTATTAAGTGAATATATAGAGCCAGAATCCCGAAATTTGAAAGTGAGATCTCCATTGGTTTTTGGAAATTAGATATTGAGGGGGTTTTGCAAATATTTACGGTCATTGCACATAAGGTACTAAATAGAGCTATGCTTGGTATTGGGAGCAAAAATAGAGCTGAAATTTTATGTGGATGCCACTCTTGGGGTCTGCGGTTAAGAGAAGGGACTGGTTTTGAATATGCGTACTAAAATTGTACTAAACGGTACTAAATTTAATAATGGGGGCAATTTCAGAGCTGAAATCCCAAAATTTGATATTAAGGTCACTGTTGGCGCCTTTGGCTGAGAAGGAACCGGTTTTGGATATTCGTACTATAGATTTTCGAAAATTATTAAATTGAACAGACTTGGTTATTGGGTGAAAGGATAGAGAAAAACGGCAAAAATTTATATCGCGATAACCGTGTGTTTAAATTATTGATATATGGAACGGTTTTGCAAATGAGTACGACATTTATACGAAAAGTACTAAATGGTACTAAATTTGGTATTGAGTGAATGTAAAGAGCTGAAATCCCAAAATTTTATGTTGAGGTCTCTGTTTGTCGGACTGGACAGAGTGTGCCTTTGAGTAGTAAAAAGTCAAAATACAAACTATTTTGGAAGGATTCTAAAATGACGACATAGCAGGCACTTGCTATTTACAGATAATTTTCTGTAATTCCGGCCGAATTGATGTAGAAGAATCCTTCTTAATCAAAAATTAATAACCGATTATAAGACTAGTTTTAAGATTTGTAAGTTTGTTTGTAAGTTGTAAGTTTTGTAAGTGTGAAGATTAAACCAGTAAAGAAAGTCTTAAAGTCGGGCGGGGCCGACTTTATGATACCCTACACCACTTTGCTAATTTAGTAGAGCTCCACATAACAATTAAAAGTTTTTATGGGAGAAATCAATCTTACACGCTATGATTATAATTATAACTTAAAGTTCAAAGGACTAAATATGCCGAAGCATTTGTATCTTTTAAATTCGGAATTGTATTGCCCAGTTGGTGCACAATTAATTTGAAATCGGATAAAGATATATATGGGAGCTATATCCAAATCTGAACCGATCTCGATAAAATTTGGCAAAGATATTTCTGAGCTGTATTTGATATATTTCCCTGAATATCGTTGTTACGGAGTGCATATTACGGTTGTGGGTAACAAATATAACAAATCGGATGAATAATATATATGGAAGCTATAGCTATATCTAAACCGATCTTCACCAAATTTGACAGACTAGCTTCTAGACTCAATTCGGTCGTAAGTGCCAAATTCCATTTTATTTGGACAAATATTAGACGTTTGGTGCACAATAAAAGGCCAATCGGACGAAGTTATATATGGGAGCTATATCCAAATCTGAACCGATCTCGATAAAATTTAGCAAATGTATTTCTGAGCTGCATTTGATATATTTCCCCAAATATTTTTGTTACAGAGTGCATATTACGGCGGCGGTGGACAAAAATAACAAATCGGATGAACAATATATATGGGAGCTATAGCTATATCTGAACCGATTTCGATCAAATTTGCCATACATATTTTCAGACCTAATTTGGGTGAATATGCAAAATTCCATACAATTCGGCCTGATATTACACGTTTGGTGCACAATACAAGGCAAATCGGACGAAGATATATATGGGAGCTATATCTAAATTTTGACCGATTATTTCCAATTTCAATAGGGTTCGTCCTTGGGCCAAACAAATGATCTGTGCAAAATTTCATCTGGATCGGGCAATAAATGCGACCTGTACTTTGTTTACAAAAATACATGGACAGACGGACGGACGGACATGCATAAATCGACTCAGAATGTGATTCTATGCAGATCATCAAAAGGAACTATGGGTCTATCTCGTTTCCTTCTGCCTGTTACAAACAAATGCACAAAGACATAATACCCTGACCACCTTGTGGTGTAGGGTATAAAAGGTTAGTCTCTGCTGCTTTTACTTCGATACTTTAGCTTTTATTAACGTCATGTTAAAATACATCGATAACGCTTCCAGTAGTACAGCCACTAATTAGTGCTAATTATAGTGGGTTCTTTTTAAAATCGTATAATTATATAAATAATTATCTAAATTTTACATTCCGATTTAAAAAAAAAACAGTTACCAAGCCAGTTCTCCATTAATTTGTATAAAGCAATTTAAATCAAGTGCTACCAGAACGTACTTCCTTGCAAAGTTATATAGTAATTTTATATATGAAAAAAGTCATATTTCCCATTAAAACTCGGCAAAGTAGTTATCCTTTTTATATAATATACTATCCTTTCCCCCAACGAACAACTACAACACACTCCACTAATGGACAATTTCTGGTTATTCTTATTTGTAGCATCAACATAACTTAAGGATGGCAAGGAATAAACTTATGCTAAAGCAACACTTTTTTTGTTGAGTTTCCTTAATAATATTTGTACGTTTTTTTTTCTCCCTATTTTCAGAAAAGGATACAACAGCAGCATACAAAAATAACAACAAGAACAACAACATCTTGCCAAACTTTGACTGAGGCAGACCGCAGTAATAACTCAAGAAAGTAGCTGTTTGCCAGAAGGCGAATAACCACCGAAATTTCATAACACCCAAGAAAAAGATAACCACAAAAACCAACAGCAACAACGAAGCGACGACGAAGACAGCCAGGAAACAACGGCATCCTCGAGTAACATGTTGAAGAAAATGGGCGGTTTAGGATTCTTATCCTGCGGCATTTTGCTGTTATGTATTGTCAGCAAAGTCGAATCCTATTCAAGTATGTACTCCCGGAAAATTTATGTTTAGAGATATGTTTTTCGTTTTGGCTGGGCTAAACATTCATCCTTTCGTCCTTTTAGAAGCCCGCTAAACAGCAACACAAATCATCATTTGAATATGTTGTTTTTTTTTTCATATTTATTTGTTACTATTCTACTTCTTATACCTATTTCCCTTTCCACACAAATGGAAAAAAAAAAACAAAAGTGTTTTGATGTTATTCTGCAAATCTAAATGAAAATTCTAATCCCATTTTTTTCTTCTTCATTTCTTAGTAAAATGTTCCATAGAAGTTATTATATTTATTTTTCCATAAAAAAGAACAAAATAATTTCATTGGCATGCTAAAACCAAAATTGTTTCATAATATCAGAATTTGTTTACTTGGATAGAGGTAGAGGCTAGTTACCCATAACAAAATAGAATTTTAAAAGTTGGATTTGTTTGTATTCTGGCTCCTGAAAATATTGGCCACAAGGGGGCACAGTTTGTTTCTTAAAACTAGCATTAAAAAAAAGAAAAATTTTAGGCTTATACTTCGAAAATATTGAAAACTATTCCATGGAAAAATGTGAAAATTCCTAAAGATACTATTAAATGGCCTCAACCAATATCTAGAGGTATGGTTACGTGGAGGCCTATGAAAAAACGAACCTATGTAGACAATTGTCTATAGATACCAGTGGTTGGTATCTACAGTGAAAATGAAATACAAAATATTAAACGCTTTCGTTTAAAAAGTTTGGCTATAGTCATCAAAATATTACATACCTCCTCCAGGTACCGTTACATAGGACTATCGAAAACGTAAACATTTTTGTCACAGAAGATCGAATCCATTACAATCACCATATAGTGGTTTTAGCAATTGTGATTTAAATCTTTTCAAATACCGCATATAACTTATAAGTGTGAGCTATGCCCATCTAGCTATAACCTAGTGGCATATATATCTTTCGATATGGCCAAAAGTGCCTAGTCGAATTAACGGTTTTAGGATCAAATCCATTTCAGAACATTTGGAGTCGAAAAAGGGGTGTCCGCCATTCCATCTGTCTGGCTGCGGCACACGAAGGAGGTATCCGATTAGTCCAAACTTTGTACATCGTAATGTTACTATCAGACTAAGATCGAGTTCGGAGATGGGCAATAACGGGCCACTCTTTTGATCCCCACAAAAATTCCAAATTTTCAAAGATAATATTTTACATTGTAGAAAAATAAAAAATGATCAGTGCTAGGTCTGGGGCGAAAATGTCGGCAAATCTGCAACAAAGTCAAACGCCATAATTTTGACATTTTTTTTTTTAAATTTTATGGAATAAAAGCAAAAAATGTCGAAAATAGCAACAAATTTTAGAATAAGTTTAGATTTGTTCGAAATGGTCACCTTTGGCACGAATTATGGCCTTCACACGGCCAATGAAACCGTCACACGCTGCCCGAATGTTGCTCCGCTGTATTTTGGTCTATTCCCGGCGAAGCGCTTGCTTGAGGTGATCGCCACTTTGGTAATTTTTAAGGGCCAACCATGCTTTCCAAAATACTCCAGACACAATAGTCCAACGGATTGGTATCCGGGGAACTTCATTTTGTAACCTTGGGCGGCACGTGTTGAGTGCGATGGTGCTGAGTCCTTTTGGAATGTGCAAGGTCTGCGGCCAAAATGTTTGCGTGCCCAAGGCTATGTTCGCGATAATATTCGGCATTAATTCCGATTCCACGGTCGATTAATACAAGCGGAGAGCGACCATCGGCTGTTATGGCGGCCCACACCACTACCATGGCCGGCGCTTGAGTTCTGGTGGCCGACCAAAGGTACACATTTTCAGCTGACCTCTTTGGCAAGTAAACACGATCATTTTTTTTTTTTTTTTTTTGTTTCAAACTGCTGAACAACGAATGTTTTCTCATCGGAGAAAACCAAATTCGACATTTCACCACTTTCTGCCAAGCGAAGCAACTCTTTAGCTCTTTTGAGTCTATTTTCTCTATTTCCATTTGCCGAATGGAATATTACGATATGTTCAGCTCACGAGCCGATTTTCGGCCACTGCGACGCGAGTTTCGATCAAGTCGATTTTCTAATTTTCCAACCATTTCTGCTGATGTTGCTGTTTTCCTCCGTCTACTTCCTTGACGTCGGTAACGAGCGATGGTACGAGACAAGATTTATAGAAACGATTTATTCACATTTAAATGATGGAGTGCTCTAACGATAGCCTCTTGTAGTTTTCCAGCCAAATTGAAAGAAATCACACTATCACGCTTGAATTCCATCACGAATAACTTTTTTTCTGGAAAATTCTCACTAAAAAGCATTTGTACGTTTGTAAACAATATAATGAGCTGTCACTGGAATAATTTTAACAGCTTTCGGACGAGTGGCTTTGAAATGACATCAGTCTGAAGTTGGTTGCAGTTGCTGTTTTTTCATCTCACCCTGTATATTCTTTGTGTGACCATGGTATTGTATATGAAATCAGTATCTGTTTTTTCTTCAAATCCCAATTAGACAGCATTTCATCTCTCATGAAGATGTGATCCTTTGGATCACTCCTTCTGGTATTCAAAATTATTCCCAAGTTCTCTTTGAGCTTCAGATTTTGTTATATTTGTACGACCAGGGCTCAAATCGTAACCGAACATATATTCGACAAAACTTACGCCCTGTTTCATATGACTATTCGTCTCAAATGGCCATCCGATTAGTCCAATTTTGGCACACTCTTTCCAACATTTCGACCAATATCACAAGGCTAGTCTATATAGACATGAACTTTAACATATCCCCACGAAAAGTAGTCGAAAGTGGTAAATCGCACGATCTAGGCCGTCAATTGACCTCTCCTCCCTAGTCACTGCTGTTTGAAAAATTAGAGTGGGTGCAGGGTCGCTCAAAAAAGAGCACGAGTTCGCTCTAAGAGTGTAAATGAGTGAAAAAATATTTTTTTCGATTTTAAACGAATTAATTTAATAATTAAACGAATTGATCCCACTCAAAAACGAGGAAATATGCTCACTTATATTCGAATGACTTCGAAAAATTAAGTTTGCTCAATTTTTTTCTGAAGAGCGCACTCGCTCTAATTCGAGTGAGTTTCACTCTTTGTACAAATTCGAGAGAGTTTTACGGAGGTCTGGACGCTACTTACATTTTAAGGACCAAAAAATAGGATAAACCCTTCAACATTTTGCGAAGATGAACTGCGAAAAAAACAAGTTAAAAAGCAATAAGTTCGGCCGGGCCAAACTTTGAATACTCTCCACCATTTGGAATGAATTTGAAAATTTTCAAAAAAATAAAAGCCTTAAAAAATTCTGTTAAAATTTTAAAAATACCGAATATAGCCGTTTTATTGGGGTCTATATGACCTACATAGGAATTGTTTGTCATAAGCCACTGACATATTCAAATTCGAAACTTGAAATAAACGCTAAATAATGTAGCTAAAATCATCAAAATATCATATATAGGAAGGTACCGTTATATCGGAGCTGTGCGAACACCTGGACCAGCATAGACAATTTTCTGTCACAGACTGTAGCGTCCATTACTAACTTCAAATACGACATCTCAAACAATTTCGGTGGGTTATACCGAATATAGGGAGGTACTGATATATGAGGCCTATACGAAGACCTGGACCTGCATAGACAATTTTCTGTCACAGGCTGTAGTTCCCATTACGAACTTCAAATACCAAATTTGAAACAATTCCGGTGAAAAATGTCGCTAAAATTATCAAAATACCGAATATAGGGAGGTACTGTTGTATGGGGGCTATATGAAAACGTGGACCTATATGGCCCATTTACAAACTTAACCTGCCTACTAGAAAAATAAACATGCCTTCTATGTCATTTTTTTCGAAAAATAGCGTGATTACAACAGACAGACAAATGGACAGACAGACGGACAGAATTTTACGCTGATCAAGAATATATATACTTTGTTGGGTCTGACATGAGTATTTCGAGGATTTACAAACGGAATAACAAAGTTAATATACCCTCCATAGCATGGTGGAGGGTATAAAAATTATAACTTAAAAATTATATTATCTAAAAATATTTTCAGCAGAAAGTGTCCCTTTTTAGGGCTATATTTAAAGCATCGACCATATGACATATATAGGATTTATTTTTTTCCGCAGCGGAATACTAGGTATTCTACATTCACGAATTAGTTATAAATTAGAAGCAAATCCTAAAAACTGAATGAGTAGAATAGAAAAATAGGACAACTCCCCAATTATCCAGATTCCGTACAGGGATTTAGAGAGAATTTCGAAAAACATGTGGTGAAATGTCCATATAATGGTTTAGGATATTTAAAGAAACTTCTGATATTATGAAACAATAAACAATTTTAAAGAATCCCTAAAACACAAATCCTTTAAAATTTCCCAATAAACAACGCACTGTTTTCCCTCTTAAAAATAAACCCCTAATTAAAAATCCCATTTTAACAATAAATTTAAAATCTAATCCTAGTTGTTTTACCAAATCATCATCAAATATCAGACCATAATTATTTTTATTTACTTTATAAAACGTTTAAACAGTTTTTTTATTTAAATTCCTTCATTTTTTTATTATTTCTTTTTTCTTTTCATCCTTCCCCTGCGGACTTTGTGGATTTAATTTCTCCATTTTATTTGGCCGCAATTTGCAAATTCCCCCAACACTGACATAAACACTCACACACACTACTACTACCACTACTACGTTAATCACACACACAAAAAAAATCCAACTAATTGTGTTGCCATTAATAATATACAAATACAACAACCACAACAAAATACAAAACCCCTTTTTAATGGTGAATAAAAATGACTACTCATTCAACATTCATCTCTGTCTCTATACAAATCCTTTTAATGAAAACTTTATTGTTGTGCAAAAAAACAACAAAAACAAAAACTATACCTCATCATCACTACCACTACCAATACAAAAACTCCTTTCTACAACAACGACAACTACTTGTGCTACCTAATACCACTACTACTACCATGACTGCAACAATTGTCGCCATTGGATTCCAATAACAATAGAATATGGACGCGGTTGCGCTGACATCGGTTGTTTGCCCAACGAGGAGTGTGTAATTACATCGGATTCTTGTAGCTATAATCAGCGCGATGGCAAGGATTGTGGCAATTATCCAACTTGCAGGAAGAAGACAGGTGGCGGGGTTAGCACCTCTTCCTCTTCGTCATCGGTTTATCCTTCAGGTGATTATTATTTCTATTTTTTCAATTGTCTTTTTAGTTTTCAATTATTATTTAGAAAAGTATTCAGTTATGTCTATTGTTACAGTTTTTTTTTTTTTTTTTTTTTTGGTTTATGAAGGATATTTTATTTCTAGTTTATTTAATGCATTTTAAGTTAAATTTAAGATATTTTAAGTTATATTTAAATTCGAAGAGGACATTAACCTGATGACTTACATTATGACAGAACAAATTGCATAGACAAACTTAAGAATGCAAGCGGTAAAAATGCTTACAAATGAGACCATTTTGAATGTGATGCTAGTGGACAGCGTTGACATTTTGATACCTTAAAAAATGTATATTTTATGAGGTTAGTACAAGTTTAACTGGCCCATATCGACTAGCTATGTATGAAGGTGCGTCTTTCCATGTTAAATTGTAATCACTCCGGTGGCAGTTATGGTCCTACATTCATGCAATTTTACATATGGCCAGGGTTCAGAATACATAATTTCCAGAGATGGGTAAAAAATAATTGGGTCCAAAAATGGAATTTTTATCACCTCTGATTTATATGTAAAAATTATAGACGAATCGACGATGAATTTCCTTGAGACAGAAACCTATAATTTTGGATGACCATCGGGTAATATACAAAAAAATTACAAGAAAAACTTAGTGGAGGTAATAAAGCAATGTTGGCTTATTTGTTCGGGATACCATAGTATTTTGTTGTTGCAAAATGGTCAGGCTTAATTCCATTATTGTTGTTTTTATAAAAACGACATTTATTTATTAGTGGAGAGCGTTGGTAATGTTTACTAATTTTTCCAATCACATCACTACAAAAATTGTTAAAACCACAAAATAAAATTATTTTCGAAATTTCAGAATTTCAGTCCTAGCGTTAAACTATTTAGTGCCTTTTAGTAGAAAATCCCTAAAACTCAATCTGATCTCATGATTTTCACCAATATTTTAAAATGTCAAGATTAAATAGTTTTGGCTCCAGAACCAAATTTTATTACATATAAGTATTAAGGAAGCTTTATATTTATAAAGGCTTTGTGTACATAGTCCCACCTGACATATTATTAACAGACCCTTCTGTAGAAAGGTCCTACTAGCTTTCTTTAGGAAGGCCCTACTAGCCTTCTATAGGAAGACCCTACTGGCCTTCTAAATAAAGCCCCTACTAAGCAGCTGTAGAAAGTACCAACTGACCTTCTATAGGAAGCCCCTTTTGGAAGTCATAGAAAAACTGGCATCTATGGAAATTCCCTCTGGCATTCAATAAGAAATCCTTATTGGCCTTATGTTGGAAGTCAATACTGCCCTTTTGTAGTAGGTCCCTAATTTCTTTCTCTAGGAAGTCCCGACTGGCCTTCTATAAGAAATCCCGACTCGCCTTCTATAAGAAATCCCGACTGACCTTCTATAAGAAGTCCCGACTGACCTTCTATAAGAAGTCCCGACTGACCTTCTATTAGAAGTTCCGCTTGGCCTTTTGTAGGAAGTCAATACTGGCCTTCTATAAGAAGTCAATACTGGCCTTCTATAAGAAATCCCGACTGACCTTCTATAAGAAGTCCCGTATAGCCCTCTATAAGAAGTCCCAACTGGCCTTCTATAAGAAGTCCCGACTTGCCTTCAATAAGAAGTCCCGACTGGCCTTCTATACAAAGTCCCTCCTGGCCCTTTGTAAGAAGTACCTCTAGACCCTCAATAGAAAGTCTCTTCTAACCTTCTATAGGAAATTCCTATTAACCATACATAGAAAGTCCCTATCGGCTTTCTATGGAAAGTCCCAACTGGCCTTCTATAGGAAGTCGATTCTAAACTTCTATAGGAAGTACCTACTGACCCTTTATAGAAAGTCCCGGCTAGCCCTCTTTCCGAAGTCATCTTTATAAAGTACCTTACAGGGTAAGATAAAAAAACTGCAACAAAGTCAAACGCCATAATTTTTCTTTTTTTTAATTTTATTGAATGAAAGCAAAAAATGCCGGAAATAGCATCAAATTTTAGAATGAGTTTGGCACGAATTATGACCTTAAAACGGCCAATGAAACCGTAACACGTTGCCAGAATGTTACTCTGCGATATTTTGGTCCATTACCGGCAAAGCGCTTGCTTGAGGTGATCGACACTTTGGTATTTTTTAATGCCAAACTTGAATTCCAAAATACTACAGACACAATCGTCCAACGGATTGGTATTCGGAGATTCGGAGAAGCGAGGAGCCTCATTTTGTAACCATTCTTGAGTGGCGCGTGCTGAGTGCAATGGTGCTGAGTCCTGTTGCAATGTCCAAGGTCTGCGGCCATTATGTTTGCGTGCTCAAGGCTTTAATACACCCTCCAGAATATTTTCGCGATAATATTCGGCATTTATTCTGATTCCATGGTCGATTAACACGAGCGGAGAGCGACCATCGATCACCATCACTATGATCGGCCCTAGAGTTCTGGTGGCCAACCGAAGGTGCACATTTTCAGCTGACCTCTTTGGCAAGCAAACACGATCATTTTGTTTGTTTACAAACTGCTGGACAACGAATGTTTTCTCATCGGAGAAAACCAAATTCGGCAGTTCACCACTTTCGGCCAAGCGAAGCAACTCTTTAGCTCCTTTAAGTCTATTTTCTTTCTGTTGCGATGTAAGTTCTTGCACTTTTTGGAATTTCAATGGCTTTACCCCGAGCTCATTTTTCAATATTTGCCGAACGGAATATTGCGATATTTTCAGCTCACGAGTTATTTTTCGGCCACTGCTACGTGGGTTTCGATCAGGTCTCTTCTTTACTTTTCGAAACATTTCAGCTGATGTTGCTGTTTTCTTCCGTCCACTTCCTTGACGTCGGGCTACGCTACCAGTATCATGGTAACGAGCCCGACATCATGGTACGAGACATAAAAGATTTATTCACATTTCAATGCTAGAGTGCTCTAACGATAGCCACTTGTGGTTTTCCCGCCAAATATAAAGAAATCTTTTTCCTTATAAACAATATATGAGCTGTCACTGGAATAATTTTAACAGCTGTTGGACTATTGACTTAGAAATGACAGCAGTCTGAAGTTGGTTGCAGTTTTTTCATCTCTCCCTGTATATTTAGTAATTTGTACACTAAAGGCACGAAATGTACTAAAAGGTATAAAATAGTGGGATATGGCTATTTAAAATGTGTTGGATTGATATTTTACAAGAGGGTCAGTCGTCTTTCGTATTGTGAATGAGTTGATGCAGTATCTTTGGAAATGCTAAAAAGTACAAGATGATCAACATGGGTATTGTGTAGATGAAAATATCTAGATCTTCCAAATTTTGTATTTGGGTGTCATAGACCAATAAATATACAGACTAAGGAATATTGGATACAAACGAGATTCTCGGCACACTTTTGCATAGTCAGGATATTGATTGAGTCAGTCGACCCACGCGAATTCGAAAAACCAAAAAAAAAAACACTTGACTGTTTTCGTTTTTTTCATGTAGTGTATATCTATATTTCATTATGGAACGGTTTTAACTGACAAATACCCTACTCTTTTCAATATTTTTAAAATATTAGATTTGAGTGACTCAGTATCTTCATTTATACCCCTGAAATGACATTGACGGCATCTGCTGACTTCAATTTGTTATTGTCTCTATATTTATTAGTCTATAGGGGTGTCAAATTTGACGAAAAGGGGTGAAAGAAGACGAAATTATCGAAGTTCGTAGGCAACTGATACGAAAAGAAACAATGTGGTATAGTACGGCTATAGCCGATTTTTGGTGCTTCGAAGGGCTGATTTCGTCTTTTTACAATTTTGTACATAGATTACTTGCTAATAGTTGAATAATCGATTGAAGACTTGGAACAAGAATATTTTTTTTATTTACGACCTTTCTTTGAAGTTAAGGACCACTAATTTCAAATTTCTGTCAAACACAACTTTAAACAGAGACATACCGAATTTCCAATCTATTTATGTTACTTACAAATTATTTTTAAGTTTATTTTCTAATGCCTTATTTTTATATAATTTTCACTTATCTATTTCTTTATTTATATAACTACTCAAGGTATTTTTACAAACTATATCTATATCGTACTATCTAAAAAAATATTTACTTAATTAGACTGAGCTTATCAACATACAACACACATAATACTCTACATATTTTATTTCTCAGACGAAATATTATTTTCTTTTCGATTTTTGTGTGTTGTTTTTGTATTTTAATGTCAAAGGCTTATTTTTTAACAATATTTTTATTTCATTAATTTAATATTTAAGCAAAGCTCCCAGTTTATAATTTAGCTGGTAGTGACATAAAAGGTTATTGGAAACTTAAACGCAAATCACAACGCATCAATTAAAAAATCACACACAAGTATTGGAATCAGCAACTCTCTCTCTCTCTCTCTTCACATTGCATACACCGCCAACAAAAGAAAACATGTAAACACACATACACACATCGACATCGATTACTAATGGAATCGTTCATTTCTTTTTCGATTCGCACAACAAAAACTCTTTTGATCTCTCACTCTGTCACTCTATCTCTTGCTCAACAATCTATCAATCTTTCAATCACAAACATAACATTTTCACAACTGGTGAAGGAAAATAAACAAATAACGGCTTTAATTAACAAAATATTAACGGATCTCACACACACGGAAATGGCTAAATAAAATAAAATAAATATTTTGTTATAATAAAAAAAATAAATTAATAAAAAAAAAACAAACTAATTATTACAAAACTAAAGACAACACATTTTGATAATATGTTTTCATTTCATTCTTCTTTTTTGGGTTTCTCTTCTTGGTTCCTATCTCGTTGTATCTCTTGTCCATTTTTGTTCGTCTTAGATTTTTTTGTTTAACAAATGTTACACAACTTTTTATTGTTTTGTTCCTTTTATTTACTTTTTTGTGGTAATTAATTATGTAATTAATTTCTATTTTTTAGTTTTTCTTTTGGGTTGCAAAACTCATTAGCAATCATCATAATCAT